CTCCTTGCTTGCCACTCGAGAATGTCGTCTGCACACTTTGGCATAGATACATGTTGGCCCGTGGCCAGGCTACAGGAGGTTGGTCCCACTCCTAATGGCATACCCTCAGAGCTGGCTCTCGGGCACAATCAAAGCCAGGCAGGATATAATATATGAAGACCAAGATGTCGCAGTCTCCTTTCGATTTATAGAAGTAGGTTGACCTCGTTGTCGCAATGTGGTCATGTTGTCAGGGCGACTATGTAGAACTCGCCTAGTCCGAAGTCGTCTGCCATAGGAGTTGTCATGATTCCCAGCATCTGACAGTGAACTTGATACATCCTCAAACGTTTCGTCGGCATTGTAGTCGGCATCATCAGTGAACTTTGCCATTCTCCGCACCAAGCTACAAACTCGCCAAAGAGACAAGTGAAGTCAATCCCTCGACAACCGTTCTGCCGAAAGAGTAGATAGATAGACAATGACAGAAAGAGGAGTGATAGTGTAACCGTTTTCGGCAGAACGTTTGTTGAGTGATTGACTTGACTTGTCTCTTCGACGAGTTCGTAGATGGGTGAGGAGAATGGCAGTACTCACCGATGATGCCGACTATGATGCCAGCGAAACGTTTGAGAATGTTTCAAGTCCACTGTCAGATGCCAGGAATCATGACAACTACTCTGGCAGACGACTTCGGACTAGGTGTGTTCTATATAGTCTCCCTGACAACAAGACCAAGTTGCGACAACGAGGTCAACTCACTTCCAGGCGGTATTGCTGATCTGGCCACGGATATCGTCAAATGTGTCGACGCGGATTGAGGCCACCTCAGCAGACATCTCTCACGTTTACCTGGCTTGATTTCAGCCTGTGGCCTGAACTTACTTGTGGGGCTCCTCGATGTTCATTTTAGTCGCTGGCTCCTTTGACCTCACATCGGACACTCCCTTCACATCCCAACCATTCAACTGATGCTAAAGTTGAATGTATCAGGGCTTGATGCTATAATTTGCCTAAATGCCACTGGCTCATTTGTGCTTCAGCGTCAATCGGGCTGACTCATTTTGGACCAAGTGCCTAAAATGTACCCGAACACCATGGTAACGACCTCTAAATTATACTTGTTCTCCGACCCTCTTGTGTCGAGAGCAAGGTTAAACCGAGGACAATAGAGACCCTCAAAATGCCTACGTCATCGGAGATCTGACAGAATCGCATGTTATCACCTGGAGCCGTAGCAACTGGTTCATCTGTCTTTGAAGTTGTGGTCTAGAAGGAACGGAGGGTCTGAGTAAGGTGATCGTGGCTCGACACAACGGTACAGGACGGGATGGGAAAGAAGTGTACGGCGTCGTGCCGAGCGGAGCCGTGGCTGGCGAAGTGAGCCCGTACTTCACTCGC